CTTGCTTTGGATCATTATCCATTTGCACCGTGAGGTGCTGTGCCATCAGTTTTGCAGCACTTGAGCAGCAAGTATAACCCTGTTCACGTCACGCCTTTTGGAAGTTGGCAAAAGCATCTCAATTTGAGCCTGGATTTTCACCTAATTTGTTGTCCCCAGTCTTTTTCTTATTGTTGAATCATGCACTCTGACCTTAACTCAGACAAGTGAGGCCTGCAGATCTTTAAATGTTGTTCTAGGTTCTTTTTTTGACCTCCTGGATGAAAAAAAAAAAAAAAAAGAAATCTGCAAAATCTTTTAGCTTACTTCATTTTGTCAAACAGTTTCTATTTAAGTGATTTCTTGGTTCAACAGATCTTGCAGTAAAGCAGCATTTTTGAAGTCCTATCCTAGCTTTTGGAAATTTGACATGATGAGCATGGCACGGAACGTGACTGGGAAACTGAGTGAAACTGTAGGCCTATATGACAGTGACAGGTGAATTACAGATTAGGTTTATCCTAAAAGCCTTATTGTGGGACCGTGAATTAAAAAAGAAAGTTTATGTTTTAATAATTAAGACCTGAAATTAGCAGTTGAAACCATAAACTCATCAGGAAATTATTTACTGAGGACATGGATCAAAGGAGCAGTAGAGCAGCATCCCTCAGGTATGCAGCCTCTTCGAATCAGACACTACATCCAGTTTTTACACACGGTCTGTGTCCATTAACCCCTGCCACAGCATCCAAAACTAGTAGTTCCTTTTACTTTTTGTATTCCCACAGAACCGTGTTTAACAGCGTTACACACAGACTCACAAGGTGCTGGACACATCACCATAGCTGCTCGTGACAAAAGCAACCAGGATGCTAACATAGATAAACATAAAAGTTGTTATTTAATTTATATTAAGGCGTCATTGAGTGTTTTAAAGGCACCTATAAAAATATATATTATTATCATTGTTATTTATTTTAGAAATACTGTTGCCTTATGTCGTTGCATAATTCTAGTAAACACTGACACCTTTTAAAATACTTGACAAGATGAGAGCATTATGTAACACCAGAATCCTTGACTATCTTTACTAAACCTTCAGACCTTCCATTTTTGTTTATTTAAAAGCTTCCTCTCCCACTGTTTCTCTGCAGTAACATCTTTACCCCCCATAGACACATAAAAAGAGCTTGCCTCCTCTTTCTGTCTCTCTGGGCTGAGAGGATATTTCATTTTTGATGTATTTATTTATTATTCTGAGAGGATTTCCCCTGAGACACTGAGTGCTTTGTAAAGCAGCACTAAATTAGCATCAAACACGAAGCGCTGCTGCTGCCTATTGGAGCATTAAATATTTAATTTACCAACAAACTGAATGGACTTTTGTTTTGAGTCAGTCGTGTCTTCCAGTGTTTTGGATGAAGTTCATTGCTTCAGTTTCTGCCAGAGGAATGTGTGCCCTCCACAGAGACCAGGCAGCAGATTCACAGGTTAAAGGTCAGGGATGTTCTCAGCTCTGTCGTCAGAAAAGACACACAAACAAACCCAAGGACGCACAGACACATGCACACACGGAGGACCACAACACAAAAATAACAGCTCATCTGCTTCATCTCCGTGCCTCTTTCTCATGACCTGACAGCTCCTGTGGGTTTGCGCGAAACCGTTTGACCCCCTCATGTTCTGTCGTCCTAGCTCTCCTTACTGCCACAGACGTCCTTGTGATGTTCACAAGGAGGAGAATTTTTTGATGTTCACTATTCTTCTTTCAGATGGTATTTTTTTTGTTTGTTTGACTGTTTGTAAAATTATCTTTTTTATAAATGAGATTGACCTTCAGCCAAAAAACCAAGAGATCCGCCCCCAAAAACGATCACGTTTGTAATCCGTGTACGCTTGAGTAAGAAGGGCGTTCTCCTAAACGTTCCTTCAGTTTGTGTTCATTTTACTTTTCTCTGCTTATAAAAAACAACAAGCATTCATAAAGTAGAGATGAAGAGGCGTTCCGCATGAGCCTAAAATCTGAATTTGTTTTTTTCCTGTTTATATTTCAGTCTGTATGTTTGTTCACCCACCATCCACTACTTTAGGAGACAGATGTGAATATGAATATTCTTAATACTTTAATGCTGCACTTTACACTGTGCAAAACATCCAATATTCCAATTAAATGTGAAAATTTTGGTTTTATTGTGTGTTTATTCCTTTTTTTTTCATTGTTCTTGTTGATTGTAAGATTACTTGGTTTTGTTTTAGCATATTTAGCATATTCGGTGATGCAGAAGCCCAAGAAAGTTTATTTAACTGAACAAAAGTTGCTTCTGTTTGCAATATGGAAAGCATACTAAATGTATTACCTTGTTTTAGATTAAGTCATTGTGATTTATGTGTAAGCTAATGTAATTTAATTTCTTTATATTTTGCTTCCAAAGAGCCAGGCTTTCCTGTAATCTTTTAAAGTTGTCTTGAGCAACAGTGCTCCAAGCTTTCTGAAGGTCTTTCAGATTTTTTCTTTGGACATTGGCTGCTTTTTCACTCAGTTTTAGTCCAGTCTTCTATTTATTAAGTGACTTAATACTGACATATGAATTATTCATGTGTAAAAAAATGCACCTAACTCACAGGATGAACCAATGTTGTGTCTACACATAACAGGAAACTTGGCAATTGTTAGGAACTTTACTAGCAGCCTGTCTCAGAAACAACTAATTTGTTCCCATTTCTCAAAGTTTGACAGGCATAAAATAGTATTTCTGCACCAACGAGGTGATTCAAAAATAGCTATTAGCTGAAAACTTGGAATATCTCAGCCTGCTGTGCGATATGCATTCAAAATTGTGAAGGAAATGGACAAGAGGAGGACAAAAGAAGAAGTGGTCGGCAGGTAAACAGTATCTGATAGTCATGTCCTTAAAAAACAGGAAAGTAAATCCAGCAAAGACCTGGCACAGGACCTGAACGACAACAGTGAGTGTTTACAGCCATCTGTAAAAAACAGTGGAGCTCTGTTATAGTTTGGAGATGCATATCAGTCAGAGTTTTGCGGGATCTTGTACCAGAAAGGTATCATCAGATTTTGGTCTATCATGCAGTACAATGTAGAACCCACCTGATTGTCAACAGCTTCCTTTTTCAGCATGATCCCAAATATGTTGCCAGTACAGTAAAAGCATACCTGGATAGAAAAACACACAATGTATTGGCCTCCCCATTGACCTCAACATTACTGAAGGGATCTGGGGAGGCCAATCAGCTTGACAGAGAACAAACCAAAAGGGACCAACCATCCAAAGAAGAGCTTTGGATGCCCTTCAAGAGAAGGAGAGAACGATTCCTGAAGACTACTAAAAGAAATTATTGGAAAGCTGCCTAAAACAGTTCAGTCTGTGTTGAAGAACAAAGGTGGTCATACCAAATATTGACTAGCTTGGAAGAACTGTGCAGACTGTTTTTATATTTTATGTATGTTTGCACCTATTCCCAGCAAAACACAAAGAAACGAGAGGTAAATTAAGACTTTTTCATGTCCTATATATTAATGGAAAATAAGATGGTGTGTGTAGGACACGTGCACAGGTTATACATCAAAGTCTTTCAGGGGGAGGACTGTTGAGCGTCCTGCCTTGGCTGTCACTCATCAAAGACGCTGAGCTCCTGTCACACACACTGGTACACACGGATAAACACAAATACAAAATGCAACCACACACATTATATGCAGTTGTAAAAACACTAATCAGGCTGCAGAGTGACAGCTGCATTGCCAACAGATGGATCGGTTCCATCAGAGTTACTGAATGCGTAGGTGTGGAAAAAGATCGGTATCTGGCTCCGTTCGGTGCAGGTGTTTGAGGAAAGTCACCTGTGTATGCGCTGGAAAGTGCAGAGTGACAACAAAGGCTCTTCTAAACACAAATAACACTTTATTTATTGAAGAATTCAGCAAAGTTGATGCATCTCATCTTTTTTCATAACTTACACAGTCATCGCTGAATTTAGTGGCTGCTAAACCTACAATCATGTGACAGTTATGAAGGAATACATGCAGTCTGGTCACACTAATATGACCTTCACTGTGATGCAGCACAGCAGGCCAGTGTCATGTTATGAAAAGCTGGTGCAATTAAAGCTCCTCACTTGCACAAATAATGAGGAAAACAAAAAAATCAGCAACAGAGGAAGAGTGTATACAGAAGTTTGAAATACAACCTTCAGGAAGTGAAAACCACAGCAAAAAGCAGTACAAAGCATTTACAGGCTTCATCTCCTCATTTTACTTTTATGATCAATCATTTCTAGATACAGAATAGTTGACTTTTTCTTATTATTAAAGGCAACTCAGTTGATTTCTGTCCAACACATAAAACAGATCTACCCAACCCTGACTATATTTTCATATACTACTCGTGTGTTTACATATAAATATTTGAATACCATGAAACCTTCTCAAACAGACCAATATGATGGGCTTGTATTTGTGATTACAATTGTCTGAACATGCAAAACCATTGCTCCGGTGCCAGCAATGTGTTGCCAGACATATGATAAAGGCTGAGTTTGTGCATATATGTGGAAATAAGCCTGTTTTTCTATCATGCATATGGGCCTTCAGGATTGATTGACCGACAATCCCGGTCACATTAACCAGGTCACCAGCAGCTCTGCAAACATCACACAGAATCAGAGACACTAAGGCGCATCCTGATCTGGACTCTGTTTCCCCCGTCTGCAGCATATTTATAATATTTATGTCCAAAATGCTAACTATAAGTAACTTGACTAGATGTAAATATTCCATGTAATTTTATTACACAAGTAATTATTTCTGGATTCTTGATTTATTTACATTCAGTTTATCAGTTTATACCAAGTATGTTTTCTTAATGATTATTTCAGATGCATTTTACACAAAATTATTCATTTTTATGAGGCCAAAGAATTTTTTTTTTCTTGAGTATAGGAAGGGCAGAGGGGATGAGTCTGACCCAAGATCAGGATCTGTCATCCTTTATGGGTTTTTCTTGTTTTTTAATTACACTCTGGTTTGTGAGATTCAGAAGTCAGGTCCCTCTTTCTTCAGGTTTTTGTAGTCTGTGGTGATGGCCACAAACTGGGGGGGAAAGTAGAAAAAGACTGTGTTTGTGTACGTTGATTTAACAATCAATCGACAGTAAAACACAGTCAGATTAGAGTTCATGTGCTGCCTTACCTTGTACTGGTAAGTTGGGTCAAGTTTATTCCATGGCTCTGGGTTGTTGGTCTTGTCCCAGCTGAAGACACAGAGAAAATTAAATGATTAAATCTGATGAAAAGTTAATCAAGCTCTCTCCTGAGAGCTTTTTTGTTTCATCCCCGCTTTGTTCAACTGGTAAATAGAATAAGAAAGAAGCTAAAGAAACAACAAGACAGTGCTCCATCCCGTGAGGTCTTGTAAAAAGCATTTAGCCATGTCTGCTGTTGTTGGAGTTTCTTATATCAAGCGCTTGGGAAACAGCAGGAGAAGAGAAAGTCCAAGCAAAAAGGATAAGAGTAGGCAGGACTCCGTGTGACAGAAAGCATCCTGAAACAAATTCCTCCACTTAGAATGTGAAACACTTATTCATCTCCTCTCCGCACGCCTTTGAATAAATGTTAACAAATGTGCATTTCAGGGTGAAATCAAGCCTATCACAGAAGGACGGCTAAGTCCTTTCTCTGTTTGGAGTCCATCTGTGATCATCCGGTAGGTGGGGACTGGTTGCTCTTTGGAAGTTGCATGCAATTAAAGTGAAAACAAAACTAAACAGATGTGCGAACCTGAGGAAACACAGGGTCTCCCAGCTGTGACACGTTTCATTAAAAGATGGTGGGATAATGACTTTTAGCTTGTTGTTTTTTGTCAGTTGAAAAACAGTAATGATAACGAACAATTAAATGATGTTTTTAAAAAGTTCTCACACGTGATCAGAAGTCAGAAATGTATGTGTCCTTACGTAACATGGGGTCCTCTGGCCAGCCGGATCAGATACAAGGATGCTCCGCCCATTCCCAAACAAATGAAGAAGAACTGGGGGATGAGCTACAGAAAAATAAGAATTAGGCTTCTACACATATTTTACACTTAAACCATAAAAGACAACACATTTATGCCTACATGCTAATCTGAACCACACTGTTCAATGGTGTATTGGCAGCTGTACCTTTTGCTGCAAGGCCAGGATGCTGTTTTGTTTTAACATAATGGACGTTTGACTTAAAAAGAAAGAGCTCAGGAAACTCAGGAAAGCTGATAAAATACATTTCAGCCAGATGCATCGTAGACCACCCTGAAGACAGATGAAGACCCCAGGGACTGCCACATCCAGGGCTGATATACAGAGAAGTAATCTGGATATTTTTCTGCCAGCAGCAGTTTGTTTGTCTTATGTGATTTAGAAAAACAGAGCTGGAATTTACTCCCTTCAAATGATCGTTTGGAGCATTATTTCTATTTCGGCTGATTTTTCATTTTTGTTTATTTGTCATTCTGCAGTCCTTATTCAAGATAAACTCATACCACCCTGAATATATTCACAAAAATCCATTGTTACCATGTGCACAATAACAGGAAGGGGAGTATAACTTGTCTCTTTGTATGTTACTTTTAGGGAACATGTGGGCTGCGTTGTTCTTTCTTTTGGGATAGAAGTTCACTGGTGACGCTTGATGTTTCTTCTTGGTGAAGCCAAATCTTCTTATTCATTTATTTATTTATTTTACACTTCAGCTAACCTGTCATTTTCAGATTTGTCATCACAACATCCAAGTGTGTTAAATCCCCACCTCCATGACTGAGAATAAAAAAGAAAATCCAGATTTGTCGGTCACAAAAAACAGAAAGGCTAAAGGTTGTTAAATAACTATTATCACGATGGGAAGCTGTTAGTCCTTTCCAGCACTGCATCATCTTCAGCCTCGTGACTCCTGACAGTCTGCAAGTCGAATGTCTCAGTAAGAAAAAGCACATTCCTTGAATTTCAAGACAGATGCGGCACATCTTTTTTTTAAGATAAGGTGAGGCGCGATGTGAGCCAACTTATTCAGCTGTGAGAAACTTTCTTCTAAATTAGCTGTCAGCCTTCAGCAATAGCATCATTTATTCAAAAACAGACACTCGATTTAAAACTGAGTCTATACTTAATATCTGCTGTAACAGAGGTGATCTGAGCAGCTGGCCCACTGAAGCTCAGGGGATTGAGTCTTGGCTTGTTGTTGCTCCGTCACCCTGCATCATCCCAGTGAACGTGCTGACACACATCTGGAGCATGTGTGTGCGTGTTTTATATAATTAAATCTCAGAGGGAAATTTTGTACTTCTGACTTCTCTGTCAGTAACTTCTGAGAATAAATATCCCTTCTTTAAAAAAAAAACTTTTGCTGCTGCTTTTACAGAATTTTCCTGTTATTTCAAATTATATGACGTAAATAAAATGACAAACAAATAAATATTTGTTTAAGATAAAACTGTTTAATTCTAGTTTAATGCTGTAAATAAAATTCAAATTTGATGCACTGAGTGTAAAACAACACAAAAAATACAGTAAAAGAAGAAAAGTTTCTGTATTTTTTTATTATTATTTTCATAATGTGTGATTTAGTACTACATAAACCCACCCTCACCTCCGTGTTTTACAGCTGGCGCACCAAACCTGCTGAACTCCATCTGGTCCAATGAAACAATGTGTTTTGGTTCACTCCACCAAAACAATGTGCTGCCACTGTTGATTAGACCTAATTTCAAGTCCTCTGGAAAAGCTTTACTTTGCAAGCAGCGATTTTTCTGCTCTGACATCCCCCGTGGAGACTGACTTTATGCAATGAGCTTTACACTGCCTGAGCCGTCACCGAAACACCAATTTTCACAGTTAATCTTTGTGCCAAGTAAGAAGCACTTGCCTGCTTATTTTTTGGATAGTTGAAAGAAATAGTGTGCAGCATGCCATATTATTTATTTCCAATATGGCAACTGTGCCTTGTCTTCCTGGTCCACATTAGCACTGCTGCAAGTGTTTTTCATTTTTACAAAGCCACAGATGCACAAAGGTATTTATTAAGAGGTTAGTGATCACTGATTCTAAGGAACTTTACATGCTGGATTTCCATGTGCCATTTTTTTAGGGTACAAGAATTTTCTGACATTCACACACTTGTGAAAAGCGTATTTTTGGACACAGTCTGTATAACTGACCCTCAGTCTGTCTCTGTCTTAGTGCTGCCACCACCTATCTGTCTGTCTCATTCTGGTTTTAATCACTGGTTCCATCTCTTCTCTGTCTGTCTCCCTGACTCTCGATCTACTTTCCCATCTGACCAACGATGCATTCATCTGGCTCATTCTCTGTCTGTGGGGCTCAGAGTTTCGGACTCTCTCTAACAGCCTTTCAGTCTCTCCTTCTTTCTGTTTGTTGTAACTTGATCAAGGAGAGTTGTAGAGTCTCACAGGGATTTGCCTCCTGCAGCTCTTCCCTCACTCCCGCTCTCCCTTAGAGTCTGTCTCTCAGTATCTCTGCCTGTCAGGATGATAGACCACATCACGGAGCGCTGGTAGAGTCTCATACGGATTTCTTCCCCGCTGCTTCTCTCTCTCTTCCCTTCTCCTGGGAGGCCAGTGAGAAGAAGTTAAAACTCTGTCACTCCCCTCTCTGACAGCAGAGCCGGTTAAAAACTGCAAAAATAATCCCCTGCCCTGTAGGGACAACTCAAATTTAAAAATTTCTTACTAAACATTTGTGAACTGCTTAGATTTTTGTCAGTTTAGATTTAAGGGGTTTGCGGAAGTCGCTGATGTGTTTTTGATGTCTTAAGCTTCTCAGTTCAGCTTGATTTTGAAACGAGCAACTGGAGCAATTTAACAGACTGAAACAGAGCTAAGATAAGATTAGATGAGACAAAATTAGACTTCTAAACAGACCTGCTGCTTTAACCAGTTCATTTACCTGTTACATACATACATAGGATGTCATGAAGTTTGCGTTAATACAGGCATTAGAATCAAATCAGTTATGTGCAGCAATTGTTAACATTGAGCAATATTTTCTTTGAGCATAGTCTAAACCAATATATATATAAACCTGTGGGTTTAATACTATTTTAACGAGCTGAAAAAAAAAAGAACCATCCTAGGATTCAAGTGTTTATCCAACCTCGCTAGTGACAAACTGAGTTTCTAGTGCAGCTTTGGTTTTGTTTCATTCAGTGAACCATGTTTGAATAATTTCAACACACTTATCCTAAGCAAAATTTCAGAAATGCAGAGCAGTTGATGGATTTCTATTAAAATGTAAGTTACATGTTAAAAGAAGCTGGACATGGCTTATCAAAATTTGAAACACCTAAAAACTGGTCGAGAATTTAAAAGATTACTTACACCGGGGTGCTTCTTAGCATGCTCGACTGCTGCCCGAAACATCATTGCTCCAGTTTACAGTAAATCAGGAACAATACATGAAAAGAAATGAATTCAGGCCTTTGTTCACAGCAAACACAAGCTTTGCACAGCCGAGCACAGACGGGATTTAGACCTGTTGCTGGGAGAGGCGGGAGGAGGAGGAGAGAGAGGAGGAGGTTGTTTTACATCTGATTACAGCCACTGCTGTTCCCTTGTTGGGTAATTACACTGTGCTGGACACTGGTTAATAGTTTGTATTTAAACGGAAAAGTTTCGCCCCAGTAAACCGTTATTTGATATCCAGAAAAGAGACATTTGATGCTATCAGGCCATTCAATTAAAAGAAGTAGGGTTGTCTCAGACCTCAGAGGCGTTTTCTCTACCATTTCCCTCACTGTGTTTAAAGACTTGTCGGTCATTTGGGAGCTGACTAAAGGAAATGGAAAACCATTTGAACGCTGTGTCCTTTTAAATGCCATTAGGGAATATGGACCCTTGTCAGATCCACAAAGAGAAGACCCAAGTCCTGAATGAGGATCATTCTTGCGTGAGCGTGTTTTGATCCTGAATAATTAAGTTAACCAAATGTTCGTTTGATTGTTGCTAAACTACAATTTACACAATCTTAATGAAATGCGCTTTTGCGATGTGTCCATATTGCGTGCTCTTTAGCAGCAGATTCTCTGGGCTTGACTTGGCAACCAAAGTCAAGGATGCTCAACCAGCATATTTGCTTTATTTCAGCACAGTCAGAGAGCTAGATGCACACCAAGTGTGTGAAATGTGGAAACACAGTTTAAGCCATCTAAAAAAAAAGGAAAATCTAAAAAGCAAACATAACCCAGTTTAGTCTGAACACCAGAAGTAACACGTACCCTTCACATTATGGCCGTTGCTGTGATTAAATAAAGGTAAAACCATCAATGAGCAGAGGTCAGGGCGACAACGCTTATCAGCTACACTGTTGCGTTTTAAAGGGTTATTGCACTGATTGATGATGATAGAAGTAGAGCCGCTAACGTACGTGCTCACTCACGTAAAATGCACGCTGCCTTTGGTCATCAAAAGAATATGTCCCAGTCCCAGTCTGCCTAATGGACCCGTGTCTCTGATTCACTGCACTTCAATTTAATTAGAAGTGAAAACAAATACAACTCAATTTAATAAACGATGGCCTCACTTTCAACTCCACAGATGTGTTGTCCCAGATGTCTGTGCTAGATAATAAAGCAGCATAATAAAAGCTGACATGATGAGTGCTGTGGTTAAAACAGGTTTAAATAATTTTCTGTCTACACGTTTTAATTTTTTAAATAATATTTTAGCCTTTTTTTCTTCTTACAAATGAAAATGGATCATTTGCACAGCTAGACCGACAAGGTTTTTCATAACAGCAGAGATTCATTATAATGACTTCATCTGCCTCAGACAAGGTGCCTGCAAAAGGTAATGAATCCCAGAGTGAGACAGGGCCATGGTCCCTCCTGTGTGTGTGTGTGTGTGTGTGTGTGTGTGTGTGTGTGTGTGTGTGTGTGTGTGTGTGTGTGTGTGTGTGTGGTAGTCAGACCTTTTGCAAATTGCAAATGAGTGCCTGGAACTACTCTCAAAGAGACTGTGCGTTCAGTGCCTGTGCTGCTGATGCTGTGGAAACATCAATCTTTTCACACTCTGTGGACTTGTCTTCCTTTCGGGGGCAAAAGTTAAGTGGTTAACAAACAAAAAACTGTAGAATATAAATTAATTATGAATAAATAATTTTTGAAAAAACTTCAATGGTTTTAGTGTCTAGCACAGTTCTCCAGCTAGTCAAAAGTCAAAGTCAACTTTATTGTCAATTCTGCCACATGTACAGGACATACAGAGAATAGAAACTTCGTTACTCTCAATCCCTAGATAAAATAGAAAAAGAACATTTAAATATAAGCTAGTTGATTTGCACATTTTTTTTGCACATGTCGAGGAGTGTGTCAGGCTACATTTCACTGTGTGTTATACTTGTATAACAATGCATGTGACAAATAAAGAACCTTGAACCTTGAACCTTGAATTTGGACTGTATAAAACAAATGAACCTGTATAAATGTGCTCACATCAAGATTTGGAAGAGAGTTTATCAAATGTATTTTTTTTTTTTTTTTTTTTTTTTTTTTTTTTGGTGTTTTGAGTATCGCAATGCAAATCTCTTTTAGTTGAGTTATAATTAGGAGAAGCCAGACGGCTAATATCTGAAAAACTCTCCAACAACAGCTTTATAATAATGAAAGCGTCTAAATTAGGTTTGGGGTTTTAAATTGTAAATGCTAAAAGGGGGTTAAAAATGAGAAATATGACTGTGTTGGGTTTTTTAAATATATCCTCATTCTTTTATACACATCTCTCTTAAGGTCCCGGTACAGCATTTCAGTCATGTTGAGGTCTGGACTTTGACTGGATCATTGCAGCACCTTTATTGCTTCTTTAGCTTTAGCTGTTGGACAGATAGCCTCACATCTGACTGTAGAATACTTATATATTATATACAATATATATATTGTATATTGTATATAATATATAAGAGGTGCAATGACTGCAAGGTACCCAAGATCCAGTGGCTGCAAAACAAGCCTAAATCATCACCCCTCCACCACCATGCTTGGCTGTTGATATGAGGTGTTTGTGCTGACATGTTATTTGGTTTTTGACAAAAATGGTGCTGTTTATTATTAAGACATTGTTCCAGAAGTTGATTTGGAGAGTAAAGACATTCTCCTGACAACCCTTCCAAGCAAACCACACTTATTCAGTGTTTTTCTAATTATGCTGTCACAAACTTTAATATTTAAAATGCAAACTGAGCCCTGTAGAGTCAGAGATGTATCTCTTGGGTCTGTTTGATTGATTGATTGATTGATTGATTGATTGATTGATTGATTGATTGATTGATTGATTGATTGATTGATTGATTGATATTAAAGGGTTGGGTTGGGTTGTTTGGTATTGGTTGGTTGGTTGGTTGGTTGGTTAGTTGGTTGGTTTGTTGGTTTTGGTTTGGGGTTGAACAGCCTGACCTTGGGGAGAATATGCTGAGCATTCTCACTGTAGAATGACAGACTTCCCACTGTTTGGAAATTGACTTAAAACCCTTTCCTGATTGATGAGCAACAGTTGCTTTTTAAACATTGTTGTTGACTCCTTTCCTCTTTGGCATTGTGTTAAAATAAACATAATGGCTGCAGATGAGCAAACTTTCAAAACTGTTAAAAACTGCTTCAGTAGTGAGGCTCACACTATTTTTGTTTTCACACTTCATTTGTGACTCTGTGACATGTTGTGCTTGTCTGATGTAAAAGTGCTGAGTGTTGCTGACGTATAGCCGTAACTGTCATTTCTGTTTCTTAAAGATAAACAGCTATAGGGATCAGCTGGAACTAGTTTTCTGGCCGTCCACACCCTGAGGATGCAGGGTACAGCCCCGAGGGATAAAAGTGTGTCTCTGACCTCTTTTCTGATCCATGTGAGATTACGTGTTCGCACTGAGATAAAGCTTTTATGTCTGTGTTTATATTTCCCTTCAAGACTGCGCAGTCAGAGAGGCAAAAGACAACGATAATCAGTATATACCCAGCGAGCGTTTTACAGCTGATGAGGAGACAGATTCCAAATACCTTTTTTAGTATAAAAGCATAGCCTACTTTTGCCTTCAAAGGCGACTCTGGAAAGTTTGTAGTTCAGTTCAAGTCACTTACAAAGGTGTGAAAAAAGTGACAGGTTTTCACTGAGCAAAAAACTGTTTTAAAACATCCACAAACTTCTCAAAGTGCTCCTGCAGCACAGCCAACTTTCCTCTGTGAAAAATATATAGTATTTTCAAACAAAAAAAGCCTTTAAGATTTTTAAGTAGATAAAAATTCTACTTTTGCATCACACAGTTCCTTGAATAACATATTCACGGGCAACAGAGAAGTGGCTTAAACAGCTGGAATCTTCTTTAAAGGTTACTTATTTGTGCTTTTGAAGCCGGTTACTATATGGCTCCTTTGTCAATAGTATGAATATGAGCTTGCAATAGCCTCTGTTCTTGTGCATAAATACTCCAAATGATTTTGAGTACACTATCCTTACAGTAATTTTATCTACTCACAGACTGTCCATGTTCTCTGTCAGTGCAGGAAATACCAGCTGTGTCAGGGTCAGTCAGCTCCAAATGTTGATGTTATTGTATAGCATCTACATAAAGCTTCTCTGGTTGGACGGCAGCCAACATGTCCGTTGAAGATGAATCATTAAAGTCCCATTCTGGGAGTCAGGAAACTCGAGACGGTGGTACATAATAGAATTTTTAATGGAGTAATGGATTTAAATTCATGATGTCAATGTGTTTTTACTTTGATTGACCACATTAAATGTTTATTTAGCAAAAATATGAGTCATACCCACAGATTATAAGCGCAGACAGGTCACTTTCTTATAGTGCAATCGTCTGCAGGGAAACCTTGAGTCTTTGCATTTATATTTTTGACACACACCATCTAAACTTGCAGATCAAGCAGACGGGGATCCACTAGGGAATCCTGTTACACTGCAGGAAGTGCTCAAGAAAGGATCAAGGAACACGGCAAAAATCAGGTTGTAGACTGTGACTCCAAACTGCCCAGGTGACATCTAATCATGCATCTGTGGGAAGCCTCTGAACTATCAGCCAGAAAACCAGGGTTAGATCATCATGTTGGAACCATAATTTCACTTCTTTTTTTACCCTTTTAGGCTCATTTAAATCACCTTTTGCAATGTTAACTGAATTTTAAAAGGTTTCTGCAGAAAACCAAAGTGAATTTTAATTGTAAACCGTAACTGTGGGTGCTTATAGGAGCTTGAATTAATGGAGGGGAAGTCTTATTCAAGACAGCCACTGGAGCAGCATGTCAGAGTCAGACTGACAGCAGCTGGCACGGTGAGCTCCGGGAAGGGGATGAGATACTGAAGTGACATTTGCAGGCAAAAAAAAACAAGCCCTATTTAAATGTAGTTGGACTTTAAAATGATAAAGAAGTACATGAACATGTAATGATTATGTGAAACTTCTATTTACAATAATCCATCAGATCCCATATTTTTAGATTCATTTAATGATTTCAGTCATTACGTGTCTCTAAATCAGCAGGTTTAAAG